GGGGGGGGGGGGGGTGTCCCGCGGTCGAATCGATTCGGATGTTCAGAGGGAGGCGAGCCGTGGCCATGCAAGCGTGCAGAGGCGCAAAAGCACTCCAGACTGTCCAGCAGCTCAAAGGTGCAGCATTCGGCAGCCGGCAGCTTCAGCGGAGCGAGAGCGTCCCTTTGTTTCGAGCTGCCGAGCTGGGTGAGAGGACAATTCCTTCGCACGGCCAGGCTTGCTTCTGGAGCAGGAGCTGGCGCTGGGCCGTGTGACTGACGCGAAGAGCACACTAAATCCAAAAGGGGAGGAGGCGGTGCCAGCGCCAACACTGTATTTCACGTCTGAGCATGAATTTCACTCTCTGCACCGGTATGCGCTCTAAAACTTTGGCGTCGGTCTAAGCCAGTCAGCCGAAGGCAGAGAGAGAGCCACGCCAGTGTGGCGACGTGCGTACGTTGTTCCAGCCAGGTGGGCGTCGTGATGAACCTAAACTTGGCCTCCACTGCGAGCTACCGAGACGCTTTCCTCCTCCTCTCTGGCCCGCCCCACTCTCCCTCTATCTCATTCTTCACTCCTGTCCGCCATCGCAACCGCCATCGCCATTGTCAGCGTCACATCTCGGTTCGCTGTCCAAGGTGAAGTCGTCGTCGCGCTCCCTCCTCCACCTCAATCAACCCTTCAGTCTCGCCTCTCTCTGTCACGACCATCATCACTAGACACGACCCTTCCCGTGCCTCAATCTCTCAATCACCAAGTCGAGCTGGCTCCTTCGTGACATCGATCCTCTCGGCCAGATTCATTCGCTCCACTTGCACCCGTCTATCTGCACGCCTCCGGTAGTGTGCGTCACCCCAGTCCAATCAAAACGGCTGGAACGGTATCCATACGACAAAGAGGCCGCCCAGCTCCTACACACATCAACCAGGCCTAGAACACCCACTCTACATTGTGTGGCCCTCGGCGTGGCGCTCGCAGCCTGCCAGCCATCAAGTCCACCATGACGCCCTCTCAAACCCTCGTTCACCTGGCAGCTCGCGCCGAACAGAGCGGCGTCGTGCCCAACGCGCTCATCGAGCAGCTCAACGCCAACGGCAGTACCGACATCAAAAAAGTCGGCATCACCCTCGTCGCCTTCATCGGCCTCGGCCTCTTCACCGTGCTTGCTTTCCAGATCCTCCGTCCCAACAACAAGATCGTCTACGCCCCCAAGTACAAGTATGCCGAAGATGGCAAGGCTCCTCCCAAGGCCTCCGAGGGCTTCTTTGGCTGGATCCCGCCCATCGTCAAGTACAAGGAGCACGACCTCCTCCCTCTCATCGGCCTCGACGGCGTCACATTCCTCCGCTTCATCCGCATGATGCGCTGGATGCTCACCACCCTCGCCGTCCTCATGTCCGTCGTGCTCATGCCCGTCGACATCGCATACAACGCACGCAACGGCGGCGGCAATCTCGTCACCAACAAGCTCAACTACCTCAACATGTCCAACGTACACGGCACCTACATGTGGGCTCACGTTGGCATGAGCTACGTCGGCACCATCGTCGCTCTCTCCTTCATCTGGTATCACTACCGCGAGATGGTCCGCCTCCGCTGGTCCTACTTCCGCTCCGAAGAGTACCAGACCAGCTTCCACGCACGTACCCTCATGCTCACCGACGTCACGAAGCGCTACCAGTCCGACGGCGCGCTAGGCGCCGTGCTCTCCGAGCTCAAGATGCCCTACCCGACCACCGAAGTCCACATTGGCCGTCGCGTCGGCGTCCTCCCCGACCTCATCGAGAAGCACAATGACCTCGTCCGCGACCTCGAGCACGTCCTCGCCAAGTACCTCAAAAATCCGAATCAGCTGCCCTCCAAGCGTCCTACCAAGAGGATCGGCGGCTTCATGGGCATCGGCGGCGAACGCGTAGATGCCATCGACTACCTCACCAACCAGATCAACCGCGTCGAGGCCGCCGTCATGCACCAGCGCGAGACCATCCAGGAGAAGAAGCCCGAGATGTACGGCTTTGCCTCGCTCGCGGCCGTGCCCTACGCCCATGCCGCCGCCAAGGTGCTCAAGGGCAAGAAGCCCGGCGGCATGCGCATCGCCCTCGCACCGCCGCCCACGGGCATCATCTGGAGGAACCTCACCCGCTCGCGTGCCAGTCGCGCAAAGTCGAGCTTCTTTGGCTTCCTCATGCTCCTCGTCCTCTTCTTTATGAACATCTTCCCACTTATCATCGTCTCGCTCCTTTCCAACATGGCCGCTCTCACCTCCATCTCGTGGCTTGGCTGGCTCAAGTCCTGGCAGAGCAGCAGCTCCTTCACCTTTGCCGCCGTCTCGGGTCTGGGCGCCCCCATCATCATGGGCATCGCCTCCTTCTTCTTCCCGCTCGCCATGCGCAGGATCGCAAAGTACCGAGGCGTCCAGACGCGCTACAAGCTCGACCGTCTGCTCGTCGGCCAGCTCTTTGGATTCCTCGTCGTCTCTCAGTTCCTCTTCTTCTCGCTCATCGGCGTCGTCCTCTCGCTCGTCTCGCAGCTCGTAGTCGAGATCAACCACAACAGCGCGCTCGCCATCATCGAGAAGCTCGGCCGCAACGCCGCCTACGCCACCAAGCAGCAGTACCTCAACCAGTCCAACTACTGGCTCACCTGGCTGCCTCTTCGTGGCTACATTGCCGTCTTTGATTTGGCGCAGGCCATCAAGCTGCTCCTCGTGTGGTTCCAGAAGGTCTTCTTCGGACGCACCCCTCGCGATGTGCGCGAGTACACCAAGCCGCCCGTGTTCGACTACTGGATCTACTACGCCAACTTCCTCTTCATGGCGGCCGTCGCCATGATTTACGCACCGCTCGCACCGCTCGTCGTCATCTTTTCCGCCGTCGCCTTCTGGATGAGCTCGTTCATCTACAAGTATCAGCTGATGTACGTGTTTGTCACCAAACACGAGACCGGCGGCATGCTCTGGCGACCCGTCATCAACCGTCTGCTCTTCTGTATCGGCTTCATGCAGGTCATTCTCATCCTCGCCGTCGTCCTCGACACGCTCAACTACTACCAGGCCATCGCTGCGCTGCCGCCTATCCTCATGCTGATCGGCTTCAAGATCTACTGCCGTCGCACCTTCGACGACCGCTTCGACTGGTACATTCCCAACGAGGTCGAGATTGCTGCGTCCAAGATCCATGGCGGCGATGCGCGCCACAACCGTCTGCAGCGTCGCTTCGGTCACCCGACGCTCAACTCGAAGCTCTTCACACCCATGGTGCACGCCAAGGTCAAGCACCTGCTGCCCCAGGTCTACAAGGGCCGGCTCGAGACGGGTGTGGCGATGGTCGACGGTCGCAAGGTCGAAACCGATCAGGTCGCCGGCGGCCTCAAGATTGCTGCGATCGAAGAGGATCAGCTGGAATACGACCCTTCCAAGGACTCGGACGCACGCTCCGTCATGTCTGGCACCACGCTCGGCGGCATGTCGATGGCCCGCGGCGGTGTGGGCGTCGGCACTCCCGGAAGCATGGGCCCACCTCGCGGCGAGTACTTCAAAGA